AATTTAACTTCTATCACTTTAAGATTGAATGCCTTTCACCTCATATAGAAAGGTTTACAATTGACCAAATTCTCAACTTATACAACCAAAAAAAAAAAAAAATCTGTTATAAATAAATCATTACATCTCACACTCAGTGAAAAAAAGAGGCAGTAGATCTGTTTCTGTGTGGGGGTAAGCATACAGTTTCCAGTCACTTTTTATCGTAAAGAGTAGATATAGTGGAGAAAACTTGCAAACTTTCAAATTCTTTATGGTTTATATGGTCAAGGTTAGTGTTAATTACTTTTGTCAAAAGCGCCTAATTCCCATGGTTATTTGTTAGCAAACTAGTAGGTTTGCTTTCAAGTGATTATTTTATGTAAAATCTAGCCTAGACATTTAATCAATAATATTACCTTCTTGTCTGATTTTAAAGTCCAACAGAGACTTCTCTATGATGAACTAGAGGCTACAGCACAAAATAGATTCATATTCAGCATTTCCTACATATATGCATAAACACTAGAGCTGATATAAAGTAGTTGAATTTATAGGGTTAAACTTCTGAAGTGCATGAAAAGGCTCTTAAGCAATAGTCCTAGCATTGGAACAAAATATAAATCTCGTCTTGGACTATTTAGAAAACTTTTGAAAGCATTTATAATAGAGGATTCTTTTTTAAAAAGTGTTATCCTTTAAAAGTGTTTTGTCTGCAAATAACTTTTCTGGAGAAGACTCAAAAGTGACCCACATCCTCAAATTCCATTTTAATGTGATTAAAAACATTTTCAAAGAAATACAAAATTTTACAATACATAGAAAAACTTTAATTTTTTTGTCTAAAATACTCTAAATTTTTAAAAAATACATTTTTTTCTTTTTAAAGGTAGTTTCTTATAAAGAGATACCCCAGAAGCTATAGCTATTATCTTCCACCAGAAGAAAGTAAAGACACAGCAGAAGGAAGATTAGTCCATATAAACAAACTATGTTACAGAGGTTTAAGCCCAGGAATTTCAGCTAAATTTTTCTCTATACATTTTTAAGTTATGTCCTTAACAACTGTAGATACAATGACAATGAAAACGACTATTTCTGAAGGCAATAAAATTTTTTAATGTAAGGAATTGTGCTATGTGGTGCAACAATGATGAAGATGATTTGTAACTCTAGCATTCAGTTCAGTTGAGGATGCAGAAGAAATGATTCTTGCCGTTAAGATTTGTACATCACGTTACACCCATTACCTATTACCTCTCTTCTTTCTGAACCTGATACCCAAGCATCTTACCAACTACAGCTTCGGTGTATTTCCCTTCTGCGGGAAGAGGGAAGTACTGATTTGGCGACATGTTGCTGCCATATCCCAGGAGAAAACCTTCAAGCTTTACATTTGGATTTGGACGCAGGAACTTCAAGAGGATGGAGTCACTCGTGGTATTGATATGGACCTTCAGGTTTGGACTTTTACCTAATGATGGGAACAAGAAAATAGGTAGCTGTTATCCAAGCAAATTCTCAGCAAGGATTGGTTGCTGAAGCGTTGTTCATGGAAAGCATGCATCTGCTTTGCTACTCGGTATCATAACACACACCCAAATGACCAAGTTGTAGCTCATTTTGAGATCAAAGAAAATGGACTTAACATATACAGCCTAATTTTTCAAATAAAGATAAAGTAAAATCTTAGGGTTGAATACTTGGTAGCTTCTCACTGATGAGGTAGATGGAATTTTGGCTATTTTGACTACCAGCAGTTGGTCGGAACCTTCACTTTATCCACACTGTTTGGGATGGTAAAAGGACCTGAATTTTCTTGCTGATAAAATTGAATTACTACACCTTGAAAACTCCCAGCCTCCTCTACGCTCTAGAGCCCCACACCCACAGATCTTAGTCATTGATAGAGTTGGAAAGGGAGGGAAGAAGGAATGTTTCTGGCTTAGGGGTAACTGACATGGCAGAATAGGAAGTGCTGGAAGGCAGAGAAGGGTTGAGGAGAAAGATGATTAGTTCCATTGGGAGCTTATTCGGTTAGTGAGATAACTACATGGAGATGCCAACAGTGAACTGAGTAAGTGTAATGCTCAGGACTGGGGTATAGACCCATTGGGGTGTTATTACCCTGGAAATGATAACTGGATGAACTTTCCCAGAGAGACTATGGAGAGTGAGAAGGGACCGCTCACTCTAAAGTTCTCAAGACTTTGTTTTAACTCCTGAGGCAAGAGAGGCAAATAATCACGCTAAGCAAAGGTCTTCACCAAGCAATGATGAAAAAAAATGGGGTTTGTCTTTGGAGCCAGAAGATACTGGGTTCAAACTCTAGCTTTGTTACTATCAGTGCAGCCTCTGGCAACTCACTGAGCATGCTTGAGCCTTAGCCTCCTAGTTTGTAAATGGTGGAGAACACTTACTTTTTTGGTAGGTTATTTACAAAGATTAGTGCAAGTGGCACAACCTTAAAGCCAGCACATAGTAATAGCTCAATAATTACTTACTAATACAGCTCCATAATGCTTTAACCATGATTCAGAAATCCAAAAAACTCTGTATGGTTTTTTGTCCAGTTCCTCTAAAAAACATACAAATTTGGCAATAAAACCCCATCTGAGCCATCATGAGATCAGTTAGTCTTTCTTTACTATCACTTCATATGTTTCATTACAGAAATGTGTTTATCTTTTTTTGTGTCCGGCAACTGATTGCAACCCTCAGTGTCGCGCCCGTACCGGACCGGGAC